GGGAGACGTCACTGGAGGCTTCCCCAAGGCGCGTGAAAGCCTGCGGTTGCGCTGAGCATCTTTCAAAGCACTCCCAGTCAGCCTCCACATCTGCTCTTTCTAAAGAGCAAAACATGGCCGTGGTCTCCACGTGCCCGCCTTCGCCGCCAGCAGATGTGAAGGCTCCCTGTCCCACAGCACAGTGACTGCGTTAGCTGAGACGCTGCAGCCTCTCTCCTCTTCCTACGCTAGTCGTTTCGTAGGGCAATCTCAGATAACTTCAGGAAGTGCTGCTACTAGGGCCCTCTAGACCAAACCCCACGGAGCAAATAGCAAGCTGATATAAATGACAGGCTTTTAAATGAGATGCTCAATTTCAAAAGATGTCATTGGCCCCTACCAGCCACCCCATCACATTGGGGCTGATTGCAAAACTCCCTGGTTGCAAAACTTACTCTTTCAATTCTTCAGTTTTTTCCTGCTTGCTTGGCTTCTCCAGAGCTTGCATCCACTTCTCATAGAGGTCGGCCAACAGGAGTTTGGAGGGAATATTTCGGAGGAAGTCCTGCAAGGCCATGAGATTTAGATGAGGCTTTGGAGACTACCCCTGAGCACAGAGGGAGTGCTGTGACTCGGGCTGAGGAGACACAAAATGAAGGCGGGTAGTTAGGTGTGGATCTGGACCTCCAGAGGGGCTGCTACTTCCCAGTGCACGGGGGCTGGCATGCGGCCACAGTCTGCACATGGGGCTTCGGCGCTGCAGGGTGCCTGGCTGCTGCAGAAAGTGTCAACTGCATTTTTTTGAACATTCAGGAAAAATGCATCCTGGATGTGTCAGCTGGAAGGAAATGGTTTTGACTTTGTGTTTGATAAGAAGCCTTCCACCTTCCCACAGGGCTTCTCCTGATGTCCACCGTTGCAGTTTGGCTGCGCACCCATGGTGGCACAGGGGAGGCCCCGGAGGTCTGCAGGTCCCGGTCCTTGCTCAGAGCCACAGCAGTATCCCTCGAGTGCATGTGCGTGCAGGTGCAAGAGGTTGCAGAGAGGGTACAGAGGGAGACAGCGCTGCAGGCACTAGAGGGCAGGACGGGCTACAGCAATCCAGCTGCAGAGACACGTAGAAAGCTGCTGATGTCACCTTTTGCACATTGCACACCCTGCACTAGTGACACCCGTCTGGACTTCCCTCCTCTGATAAACCCCAAAGCCATCGACCTTTTGCGAAATCTACTCATACTTGTAACATGAAGAGCCAACACTTGGGGTTACCCTACACAGTCCACACTAAGATCACAGACTCACAGAATGGTTTGGGTTGGAAGAGACCTTTAAAGATCATCTAGTCCAACACCCCTGAGATGTCCACCTGTCCCCTACTCAGTCAAAACTAAGATCCTGGGTTTCAGGGCTTTCTAACTGCAACTGCCAAGTATTTCCGTGCCATGTCTCAACCCTGGGCTGAACCCTTTCAAAAAGTTCAGCAAAACTGTTTCAGCCTGTCCTTTGAATGAGATTGGAGGAAAAATACATTTCCCCGCCTATATTCAACCATCTTTGCAGATGTCCCAGTAAATGACCCTTGTCACCTCCTTGCTATGGAGCCAGATTTTGGTGTTTTAGCTTTGCACCATCATCACGAGGTTCCTCAGCCAAGGAGGTGGGAGAAATGGTGGAGCACAGCTCCAGCACACTTTGTGAGAGTGAAGCGGAGGCTTTAGCACACAGATAGGCAGGATGCTGGACTTCTGCTTTGTGTTTTGTGGTTCTCATGGAAATCTTCCTGAAATTTTCAGGAGGAATAAGGAAGTGGCAGAATGAAACTGCTGAAAACCAAAAGTTATTCTCTGGAGCAGATTCTCCAAAAAGTTTATATCCCACATGGGCTCAAAAATACCTGGGGAAATTTTCAGAAGAGCTCAAGCTCCCAGCTGCTTTGAAAACATGTCCAGGGACACTGTCCACATGGAAATCCTGTCCCACAGCTCACTGGAAATGACAGGGCACCCCCTTCTTGCTACTGCTTCACATCTGAAATCAAATACACAGACACAAACCCAAACTGCATGTAGAGCAGGCTGTATAAAACCAAATGAAACACTCAACAGCCACCTGAAAAATGCATGCTGTGCCTCGAAAAACACAGATTATTGTGGGCTCATTACTAAACCCTATGTAGGGAGCAACCTTGTTCTGTTTGCACACCGCATTAAACTCATTTAGTCTGCAGTCCCAGAGGTGCAGCTGGTGATTCATCTCCTCCAGCACCTCTGGCCGCATTCCCAAGAGCAGAGCTCCTGGCACAGACCCTGACACTTCTCCAACCCCAGTCCCTGCTAAGTAGCCGCCTACGTAAAGCACTAATATTTTCTCCTCATGGAGACCTGGAAGGAGCGCTCAGCAAACATTCAGCTGTACATTATGCTAGGTACTTGTAGCAATGTTTCCAGAAGGAATG